CTCCCGCTCCAGACAGACGCAGGTTAAGATCCTCCCTGGTAAGCCAGCTCGTGGGCTACACAGAATATTAGAAATGGGTTAGAACAATATGTAAGAGCTAACCAATAAGAAACTGGACCTAGCCGGGCCAGGCAGTGTTTGAAAGAATACAGTTTCCATGTAATTATTTCGGGCATAAGCTAGCCATGCGGGCGGCGGGGTGCCGGGGACGCAGCCCTGCCGCTCCTATTTCAACAGGAGGGGACAACCGCCTGTGAAGAAAGCACAGGTGTCAGCATTGAAGTGTCGAACCCCGTGAGTTCTTACCACCGCGACTGTTATAATTAGTGCTTGTCTAGCTTTTAGTGCGTAGAAGGTACCAGACTTCCTTATACAAAATATCAGAAAACCGGGGGCGAAGAAGGATGATTCCAGGGATAAAGTGCTAGTTAGACAACTGTGAGGGCCAGAATTTGGATCCCCAGAACCCACATAAAAGATGGGTAGATGGCAGACAACTTTAATTCCAGCACCCAGGAAGCAGAGGCGGGATCCCTGGGGGCAAACTGGCTAGACGAGCAAACTCTGTGTTCAGCAAAGAAATGAGAGACCCTGTCTTAATAAGTAGAGTGGAGAGGGATCAAGGGAGACACCTGATACCAACTCTGGGCCTCCAGACAGACAGACAGACAGACAGACAGACAGACACACACACACACACAATGAATATGTATACACATACAAATGAATGCTAAAAAATAAAAATAAATTAAGAAAAAAAAAAGCCAAGAAACCCTGAGCAGCAGGAACTCAAGTAGAGTGAGTGATCTCAGCAACCTCCGAGTGTGGTACTGAGAGGTTCCAGGAAACACGCCCTCACATTTTCAAAGGAGTACAGCATCAAGTAACCATTAATAGTTAAAAATGACCACAATTATAATTTTTATACTTAAGAGCAACTTAGAAAAGGAAGATAAAGAAGAGGATAGCCACACATTAGAAAGGTTCCCTAGGGCTGTGGAGATGGCTTAGGATTCCTTCCCCAGGCTTGGTTCCCAGAACCTTCATGGCAGCTCATAACCATCAGGAGCTCCAGTTTCAGGGGCTCAGATCCCCTCTTCTGACCTCTGAGGGCACTATGCACCCACGGTGCCCAGACATATACACATGAAGGCAAAACACCAATCTACATAAAATTTAAAAATCTAAAAGAGAAAAATTTTAAGTTTTGAATCCAGTGCAAAAGGGAAAGAAGAGTATAGGTATAATGGCCAAATTATAAAAACATTAACCTTTAATACCAGCACTCGGGAGGCAGAGAAAGGTGGATCTTTGTGAGTACGAGGCCAGCCTGGTCTACAGAGACAGAGAAACCCTGTCATGAAAAACAAAACATAAATTGGGTGAAAATACAACAATCATTGGTCACAC